TTTTACTCAAAGATTAGTATCTCCTATCCGCCATGTTGTTCGCGCATCTCGCGCATCCTTCTGATTGGACGTTAGTATCGTCGTATACGCTACTCGTGTGTCATTGGTCTAGGTTACTTTTTATAAAATATTAAATAATTTGTAATAATCATCAATGTAATTATCAATGAGAAATTTATAAATAAAGATTAAAGGAAAAAGTATATGAGTACATTCTTTTTATTATTTTTACTTTATTTGCTACTGAGTTGTTTTCGGTTATGTATTACTTATAATTACAATATTTTTTTCTATTTTCTAACAGTTTTACGAAATTTCTTGAAAAAAAAAGAGTCTACCGCTTTAAATTTCAAATCTACTGCTTTTTTGGCATACCCTCTTTGACGTACCGTCCAATTTTTCAACCATCTGGCAACACTGGGCACACCGCATGACTCCATAACCTCAAATCATTTCAGGTCAGGCAAGAAGATCGTGACTGGTCGTGACAGTCGTTATCAATCGTTGACAGTCATTGATTGTTGTCATTTAACAGGTAAAAAAGTACGTATATATATCAAAGTTAAATAAATGTCCGACAGAAAGAATACATATCTCGATCTATATCATCGTCGGCAATACTGAATTGTATATCTGTTCTGTCACAGCTGGTTGAGGTGCCACGTGTGTGTGGCAAAGTGTATATCCACTGACATTGAACGTAAAATAGAAACTATGGTACTCGACTTGGATTTCTTCCGCAAAGATAAAGGTTTCGACCCAGAAAAAATCCGAGAGAACCAAAAAAAGCGTTTCAAAGATGTAGAACTAGTAGATACTGTGATCGAGAAGGACAAACACTGGCGGCAATTGCGTCATCGCGCCGACAATTTCAATAAGTTAAAAAACCTGTGTAGTAAAGAAATCGGTGAGAAGATGAAGCGGAAGGAGCCGCTTGGCGATGATGATACCGTATCCCAGGCAATCGTTGACAATTTGGACAACTTGAACTCAGAAAACCTGAAAGCGTTGACGGTGATACAGATCAAGAGAATACGTACTCTTATCGATGATGCCATACAGAAAAACGATGAGAACCTGAAGACTACTGAATTGGAAAGGAATGCTGCACTCAGAGAGGTCGGAAATCATTTGCATGAATCTGTGCCTGTCAGCAACGATGAAGAAGAGAACAAAGTATGTTTGATACATCGCTTATGACAATTTAAACTTGCTTGTTCTTAATATCTGTTATTTAATATCTAATCTCTGTTACATTAGGTGGAGAGAATGTGGGGAAACTGCATTGATAGGAAAAAATATTCTCATGTCGACCTCATCCATATGATCGATGGAGTGGACGGAGAACGTGGAACAAATGTCTCTGGTGGACGAGGCTATTTTCTCACTGGTCCAGCGGTATTTCTTCAACAAGCCCTAATACAATTAGCATTAAGGAAATTATTCAAGGTGGGCTATAAGCCTCTCTATACTCCGTTTACTATGCGGAAAGACGCAATGCAAGAAGTAGCACAACTTTCTCAATTTGATGAGGAATTATATAAGGTAAAGTTTTTTTAGTCTTAATATAAGATATTAATTTATTTATAATTATCCTATTTTATTCTATTAGGTGATTGGTAAAGGTAGCGAACGTAACGAGGACAAAGAAGTGGAAGAGAAATATCTCATTGCTACCTCTGAGCAGCCAATAGCAGCTTTTCATAGAGGCGAATGGATAGCCGAAAATACTTTACCAATAAAATATGCTGGAATCTCTACTTGCTTTAGACAAGAAGTTGGCTCTCATGGACGAGATACTAGGGGTATTTTTAGGGTACATCAATTTGAAAAGGTATCTGAAATTAAACAAGAATGTTCAGCCAATCAATTAACATTAAGAATGTCCCCACAATCCTAGATGGATCTTGACCTGTTCTAAAAATTCTATCTTTGCAACGATGCTTCATGTATGATGTATATGGTTATAAGTCATATGTACATTTCCTAACTAGGAATGTTAGATTTCTGTCAAGATTTTCTATCTGTAGTCTATGCGTATTATACATTTAAAAAATTCGAATGTAGGAGAAGGGATTGAAAAGCTCACGAATTACGAATCTACCAATCTCCCACATAAAATCACGCGGTATTTCAAATAAAAATTAACCATTCATAAAACAATAAATTTAATATATATGTAAAACAATGAATTTAATGTATTTTATTGTCTTATTTATAGATAGAGCAATTCTGCCTTACCTCGCCTCACGATAACAAATCCTGGGAAATGATGGAAGAAATGATTTCCAATGCAGAAAAATTTTATCAAGCTTTAGACATTCCTTATCGTATAGTTAATATTGTATCCGGTGCATTGAATCATGCAGCTTCTAAGAAATTAGATTTGGAGGCTTGGTTTCCTGGCTCAGGTGCATTTCGCGAACTTGTATCATGTAGCAATTGCTTGGATTATCAAGCAAGAAGATTGCTAGTCAGGTTAGTGGATTAAATGAATATAAATATCGCTGCTTTTCTAATCAACTTATTACAAAAACCTTAAGAAATTCGTTTAATCTACAGATACGGTCAAACGAAAAAAATGAACACAACGACAGACTACGTTCATATGTTGAACGCGACAATGTGTGCTGTGACGCGTGTGATTTGTGCAATTTTGGAAGTACATCAAACGGAAACTGGCATCAAAGTACCAAAAATTTTGGCGGATTACATGCCTTCCGAATATGAAAATGAAATTCCGTTTGTGAAAGTTGCGCCGATTAACGAAATCGAAACGAAGAAACAGAAAAAGCAGAAAGAAAACATATCTAAGTAGCACAGTTATGTGAATGAGATGGCGAAATGAAACAAGTGAACTATAGATATTATTTATTGCATTTTTTAAATGTTTCCATTATGATCTAACTGAATCGTGCAAAGCTATGTGTTGTAATAGCTATTTAAGAAAATATATACACGAATATATTTTTGGCTTCTCAATATCGACAACTTTTCATGTCACTCGTACAACAAAATACCTTATTTCCTTTACTCATCAGAAGTTACCAATTTCTGATTCGTTAAGAAAAGATTTCCTCCGACCGCTTTTATATACAGAGACAAAAGTTGTTTGAATATGTAATATCCCCAAATATCGTAACTTATTACCTTTATTACTCAAGAAGGCATGTATCCGTTCAACGATTGTATCAAGCTTAGAACAATTGGCGATTGTCAACACAGATTACAACATTTTATTTGATAACACTTGTTCAATATTTTTATAATCAGACATCGGTATATAATATATATGATTTTGTAATATACATTTGATGAAGAATATTTTTCGTATATAATATTCCATATTTATCTGCTTTCTAAAAACTCGTAATATCTCCGTAATGTGCTAAGAATCCTTTTTCCCTTTTTATTTTTACAATTATCAGTATTGTTAATACTAATATACATACAAGAGGCCATTAAAATGTCTCCACCAGAACAATGCACTTCAGTGTATACTCATGAAAAGAAAAAGAAAATAAAAGAAACTTTTACGGCACTTTGCCAACAAGCTACAATCTCTATGACGATTATATTTACTAGAAGAAAAGCATATGCCAATCTTCATTCGTAAAATTGTTACGTATACTAATAATCGGTGTAATAATATTTTGGCCAGGCATAAGATAATTCACCATACTGCCTTTCTACCTTATAATAAAATATAGACTTTACATTGTGTGTTACAAGTAAATTTTCATATAATACATTTCACATACAGGGTAAATTCATCGTTCGTAGCAACGTGCCTCGCCGAAATAATGTTAAAATTCGAATTCCACATTATTATTATTATTATTATTTGCGACCATAGCACTACGGTTTATTACCGAGCAAAGTAACTTAACTTCGATCAAACTGCAAGCTAAGGAAATAAATTGCCGAAATGTGGAAATGTTTGGCAGAAAATGTCGTGTTTTATAATAAATAAATATTGTACGATCGACTGAAGGAATTGCCATGTCACGCGCGAGATTGGATGTATTTTTTAATAGAAAATGATGTTATGGAGCTTTCAAACAAATTTTAAGCTTTCATCGAAGATTAAAAATCTAGCAAACTTATGTGAATTAAAGGAAAAACGGGCGTGCACACTTAATGTTATATTAATGTATGTACAACAATAGGCGAAAACATCAATTTTGCGTAATAGAAAAATTTCGATAAAGAATGCCACAAATGCCGTTCGAATAATTCCTCATCTCACGTTCTTGCTTTCGCCCCTCAGTCGCTCCTCAGTTGCTCCTTAGAAAAAGTAAACGCATTTTTAAGTCGAAATAGCCGTGTATACGTGTATTTGTGTACCTGGTAATTTGGTCCAACAACTCTGGTACTCGTTTTAAGGGCGTCAGTGTTAAAATCTGCCAATCGCCATCGGCTCATTCATCCGCAAAAACGCGCTCAGTTCGCATTCTGCTCGTAACACGTTGAAACGATGACTCGTGAGATATTGATACAGGCACAATGGTAAAATCGGCAAATGAACAACTTATGGTAATAAAATGTAAAAAGGGATAATAATATCTCTCTCTTTCTCTTTCTCTCTCTCTCTCTCTCTCTCTCTCTCTCTCTCTCTCTCTCTCTCCTCCCCGAAGATTTTCTTTCCGTATCTGATACTTCTACATCTGTCGATTAGATACAATTAAGAAAAAATATACACGTTATATATCGCTTCTTTCTTTTTTTTTCTTTTCAACATAATTCCACGGAGTTCACACGCAAGAACGCCGATATAATTTACACTTAAAAACGCACTCCAGAGATATTGCTTGATGATACTGAAATGGATCATAATGAGTCTGTAATAGTCGATCACGTTTCAGAGTATAAAGCGGACTGCTTGTCTCGTTGGATTGGTGCAGATTTTAATGCCTCGGCCAGATATATATATATATATATATAATTATCTTTCCTACATATAATATATGCCATGATGTCATACATATACGACTGCGTTTAATAATTTGTTTTATACATTTATGTATATATATATATTTTATATTTATAATTGTATTTATATTTCATCATTCCCACGCATTTATATGCACGTACATCGTGTACAATGTATCAATATTCAACATGTGAAAGTTTTTACTGCATGGATACATATAGAGTCATTCTTCTCTCACGACTTCTATATATAATATGTACTTTTGTATGCTTCGTATATTTTTATAACATTAATCTTGACTGATAATATATAATTACATAACAGTTTTAAAAATATTTCAAAATTAAACAAGAAATAATAGAATAATGAAAATTATGGTAAATCGCGTAGCAACTATAAGCACAGTAAAAATAAATTTAACGCAAATAATAAAAAAGTAATAATAATAAGAGTAGTGTGAAGAAGCGCTTGTGCATATCCGTTTATACATTAAGGAAGAGATATAAAGAGGAAGGAAACATACAGGAAGAAAGTTTAGTAGTGAAGAAATAGTCAGTAGAATAGCCGCCACTTTTACTTTACTTCTGTTTTCCTAGATCACAGTCACATTCATGGCTGCTAAATCACGGAACGTATTTCATCACCATATGAAATAAAGGGGAAGAAGATATGTATGTATGTATATATATATATATGTATGTGTGTATGTGTGCGCGTGCATGTGTGTATGTGTATTATATATATTTTTTTTTATATATACATATATATCAAATGATTTTTCAAGAATCTTATAAATACTGGAAAGTAGTTCGCTAGTTTTACGCAAGTACAAAATATATATAGTATTTATTTTTTTGTATTAATTCTTTGAAAATGGGCTAGAATATGAGAGATATTCAAATCCTGTTAAGATCCTGTTTTATCTAGATCTAAGAATATATTTCTCAAACAGCATATCATTTTTAAAATACGAAAAATGCACGTATAGATTAAAAAAAAGTTAGCGCTTACTATACAATTTCTTGATAGACAACTTTCCGTTTTACTAAATAACATAAAAAAAGTACAAATATATTTGACAAATTCATTAGCTAAGAGAGAAGAGTAATATAGAATAAATCTTGCGGACATAAATATATAGTAAGACTTGAGCATTCGTATCTAAAATACTTTGATAAAATATCTTCAAAAAGTTCTACGAATCTCATATCGGACGAGGTATTTTATTAGAATTAGAATTTAGCCAAATTAAATAAAAACGAGCTTGCATATTTCACGACATGCAACATAAACGTACATATGCAACTCTAGAATATTCTGACAATATTTTGACAACACGATATTCTTCAAATTTTGATTGCTTGCATGAAACGCAACCATAAAAATCGTTTTAAAACGTATTAAAATGGCTTGCAATATAAATCTGGAGCAAGTTTTCATCAGCAGAACAGTTTTAAGTAATGCCGACGATACGAAATTTTACAGGATCAATTCAGGCTTTAAGTTTCCCTCTTCCTACGTTACTATTTGCCACTAGTGCGTTTAACATTCGATAAAAAATAATAAATCAAGAGACAATAGGAGAACTATATAATTATATTATGTACAAACAATAGTATCCTAACACTTTAGGAAAGGATTAACTTTGGAGAAGGGTGGGAGGACCGTCCCGAGCACAAGAGTCCACTACGGATGAAGGCCCATAATCTGCAACTATTCTAAACTTAATCCTGTCTGCACTTTTCCTCATAATTATAATTCTACAAATTACAATACCATATATCCTACCATCTCCAGAATATATATATATGTGTGCGTGTGTGTGTCGTGTGCGCGCGCGCGTGTATTGTATACATATATATATATACATATTTTAATTAGTACACTGTTTTCTATTTACAAAATATGTAGAATAGACACTATCTCATATCCTAACTACGATATACGTGTCTTGACGCGAGATTTCAACCTGTCGAGGTGCGCTTTTTTTTATAAACATATCACTAATTACATAATCTATTTTACAGCCAAATTCAACAATCTTTGCTAACATTCGATGCAATAATTCTGAGAGCTTTAATAATGTAAAAAGGGGGAGAACGTTGGATCAGTAAAAGAGAATGTTAAAACAGATGCGATATACTGTATCTTTTTCTCTTACATATATAATAAAGAATAAACTTATTAAAAACACGATATAACAACCACTGATCCTATTCAATATATTGTACAAATTCATTGCATACAACATATTTGGTAATTGCCGATTAAAAATTGATGTCGATATTTGAGTACCACAATGATTAAATTTTGTCCCTGCCTCTTCGTTTATGCAGTACATATTAAGTACTTGATACATGCAATAAAGATAAGAATAAAATGTGTATTTGTCACGACCAAAAAAAAAAGAAAAAAAATTACGACCTTCATAAAAGCGCTTAAATCTAAGGTCAGAAAAAGAAAAGAAATATAAAATAAACAAAAAAAAAACTGAAAAAAGATAGACCGTTTTTAAAACACCTATAAAACAGATTAATGCATTGAATCTTAGCAAAGTTTTAAAAACAGTAGAATAAGTACTTTCAATAATGTCAGAGAAACTTATTACATACTATCTATATATCAGAAGTTATCTAACAATTACTCTTCCATTAGTACGGGAATTATAGCGCGCATACATATTCCCTTCACTTTGTCGCCGCACAATGGCACGATTTTTACTTCTGGGGGATATCGCAATCTATAAATCAAGAATACAGTACTTTTATAGCTCCTCAGATAAAGAATTGCAAATATTTCAACTCTTCAGATGTTCTTACCTCAAAGTTATTCTATAATATTTACATACGAAATAAACATTTCTATATATATATATATATAAAATATAATTAAAGTATATGTTTATATATATATATAAACTCTGATTTTATAATATTCTGTAATTCTATGTTCCATAATATTCCCAATTACGATTCTCTCTCTCTCTCTCGCTCGTTCGCTTTTCTGTCCCTCTTTTTCTCTATGACTTTTATTTTCAACAATATTTAACAATGGCTTAGGCCTTTCATGAATCACGCAGGACGTGTTGATGTACAAATATCAATTGCACAATCAAGACTGCGCAGTAAAATGCGAATTACAATTTTAAAACGTAATAAAATAATATCATATTTGAATTATCATAATAATTCTTTTCAATCATCTTTGAATCTATAGTGCAGTGTAGTATTGTCTCTTTGTTTCAAAGAAGAAAGTTTTCATCTCGTGGCAGGTTTCAACATACAACCAAGCTTATGCATTGCTTATTATATTCTTACCACGTTACTGCATTATGTGGTATAGTATAATACAACGGGATTCATATAATGTAAAATTTGCATGCAAAAACATAAATTACCGTGGAGTATCGCGACTTATCTATTAAATATTCGCAATTTTCGTCATTTCTTTTATTGTTCAATGACGATCGAACACAAAGATTCAAACACACACTCCAAGAGAGCATCTCCAAACCGTTAATAGCTCAATATTATATACAAAGTCGATCGATTGACATTTATATATCGACACGTCTCAGTATGCCCGCTAAAGTCATCCGCACTAGACTTTATCGTAATTTAAAATTGCACTAAAGCCTTTCGCAGTACTTTATAAATCTCAAAGAGAGTGTACACTTTGACTTTTCTAGTGAACACTTCGCTCTTCAAAGAATGATGATGTATTCGTGTTGCGGAGTAAGGGGATGCACATTATCACAGTTGGCACGTGGGTGCTAGCTACCACTACTGCTTACAGGCAGTGAATGTGGAACTCCTATCGATGTTGGAGGAGCAGTTGGACCTGAAGAAATATTTAGTATGAATCAATTCATATTATAAATATATAAGAAAAATCTTGTAAGACGCAATGAAGTTTTTTCTACTTACCAGTTACAACAGGAGAAGATTCAGAGACCGGTAATGGACTAACAAGACTGTTAGCACTCGGCGTCGAATTGGCTTTCAATTTTTGCCTCACCTCTCGAATCTTTAGTTGCAAACTAGTCTTGGTAGGAAATATATCCACATGCTCAAGTTGAAACGTGGTAGTCGCTTGTGACGTTGGAAAGTAACCATGCTCGTGAAACAATTGCATGACCAATTGTCTCCGTTGCTCCAGTATCTTCCTATGACCACGCTCGTTATCACTTCTACCGATTCCCAGCACGGTATTTCCAGCACTGCTCCCAGGGGTTTTTGGCGTACGCGGAGAGCTGGCATCGACATCCATTAAATCGTTGTTGGCTCTATAAGCATCGACGTTGAAATCTGGGCCGAAGAATGTGGTGCCTGTCAGCTTAACATTCGAAGCAGACTTTGGAGTGGCTGATATCGGTGTATCCGACTCGATCTCTTCCTCATTTACTGTTAAAAAATATATATATATATATAATATCACGAACATTATTACTCAAGCCTAATTAAAATTATATAGATTATTTAGTATAATTACTTACCTGTGGGCCTATGAGGTACTACTTGTATAGGTTTCTTTCGACTGTAGGTGTGTATACGTGTTTGCGGATGTAACATAGCAGCTGCACTGTTATGGCTAGCTGAACCCGGAGTATTTATACTAATCGGAGTGTTTATACTGATCGCATTCGGACTTTGTAATCTTTGTATATCCTCCGGTTTGAATTCTGGCAACGATGAGAATTTTTCTTGGAAGTTCACTTGTTCGAGAACTCTGCAATTACTCGACAAACACATCAAGTTAGTCTAATATATTTACAAAATCTTTTATTATTGTAACAGTTACAATGCAGTAAAGAGATTAAAAATATATTGATAGTACCTGTCCATACCATCCTCCACGTTTTTCTTAAAGAAGGAACCCTTCTTAGCAGAGGGAGAAGGAGAAATATGCGATTCTGTAAAATTCTGTTGTTGCTCTGTCGTTTGAGATGTATTTATTTGTGGTCGATTATCACAATGTTGAGATGTTGCCATTGGCCCATGGTCTCCTGCAGTTGATGCGGGAGGCACTGCTGTTAAATAGAACATATGGAAGAGGAGCCACATAAAGGAAGGAAAAAAAGGAAAAACAGTTTAGTGTCAAATTGGTTTATAAAAATTCGTAGACATGTAAAGATATAAAAACTACCATGTCTTAAACTACAAATCACTTTTTAATTAATTTTAACACTTTTTAGTTTTTCATTTTAAAGTCGATTTTTCCTCAAAAATGCCTGAGCATTTATATGATTAAGACTCCAGAGTAGTCACCACGGCCATATTGAATCATGATGTCAGAAACAAGAAATGGCAAATTAATTTTTGTTACGTGTCATTCGTAAATAAAGACAATTTGGATAAAACAAATAATGAGATCGTTTAAAAACATTTGTAAAAATAAACAAAAACTATGCTTATCTCTCCTGACAGTCAGTAAATTATCGCAAAGTGATATAAGGCATGCGTAAGTGAAAATAGGCTACGCATGAACATTGAATAAAAATACATTGAATTTAACACTGTTAACGTGCCTTTTAACACTTTTTACAATTATTTATTAAGATAAGGGGAGATAAGGACAGCTTTCGTCCATTTTTACGATTGTTTTAAAGCGATCTCATCATTTCATTTTATCCAAATTGTCTTTATTTACAAATAGTACGTAATAAAAATTAACTTGTCATCCCAGCAAAGCGTGTCTCAGCAAAATTTATGTGATTGCTTCGCATCTGATTGATTCGCAAATCTGTGATTGCTTATGATACTGACAACTTGCCGTAGATTTGTCTTCAACAATTTCGAATATACCGACATTGTAGCAACATGCAGACAACAATGTGTATATGTATTGCCAGCAGTTTAACAGCAAGATAGCTATATCAATATTATCTTACGTTGTCGGCAATATGACAGCATTGTATAATACTGCATATTATTATAGCAACATGATGGCAATAGTACGAATTTTGACGATGACGATTTTTTTAAAGTTGTCGGCAAATTGCTGGCAAGTTGCTACTCAATGTTATCATATCGTGAAGGCATCAAGTTGCCAACAAATGAGACTCAGTTGCTGCAATTCTGGTAGCAACACATACTTAGCAATGCATACTTAGCAAGCAATATGCCAGCAACAAGACAAACACGTTGCTATCTGGGATTTTTCGCTTCTAACGTCACAATTTAATATGGCTGTGGTTACTACTCAGGAGCCTCAAATACAAGAAAAACAAAGCTTTTGCGATTCGCAAAAAGATAAATAATTAACAAAACTATGCTTTTTATGTAATTTCTTAAGTGGATTTTGTCTTAACAAAATTTTTATTTGAGATTTAATTGTAAAGAAATTCACATTTAAAATATTGAGAAATTACATTAAATAATTTCTCCCAACATTTCCATTAAAAAAAAATTAATTTTTTAAACCCTCTCTGTAATTATGAAATATATTCAATGTAACATATAATAGGCTGTCTTCTAACAAATTTATTGTCAGTTTGTTATGTGCACTATAAATTTTCAGCACTGGTAATAAATTTTGGAACACAGCCACAGTAGTATGTACATTTATTGCTCTTGCGTAAATGTCAAAATAACAAACTACCCAGATAGCATGCATATTGAAAAATCTTTAAGACGTCTTATTGTTTCAATTATGGACATGCGTGCTATTGTTTGGATACAATTCTATGTTATCATGTACCCATTGATTGTCTCCTTTGAAGTGGCGCTCGACCAAGCTGTGCCGGAGTCGGAGCAAGCATGAATGGACCCTTGCTTGGCCCTAGGTCATTACTTTGCCCTTCATCGAATGTGTATGATTTATTCGATGACAGATCACCGTTTCCGTGATTATTTTGAGGTGTATGTGGCGTGTGAGGCGTCGATGGTTGCTTATGTATCTCATTTGTTGCGGGAAGAGCAATATTTACTGTACCCTTTCTGTCTTCAGCTTTTATATTACTGACTATAATAAATAAAAATAAAAGTTAATTAAAAGCGTTACGTATACATTGCGATATATAAAAGCTAATAAATTTGCAGAAAGATTACCATAAAACTGAGTGTGATTCGTAGCCAATTGATTGTCATTATTGTTCTCGGATTCCGCGAGGCGAGCAATAGAATGGCCAATCCCTCGATAAGTCGATGTAGTGGAGATTGTCGATAACGTTGCAGGATAAGGTTTGCTGACAATCACGCTTTGAATTTCCATCTTATTATTCGAAACCAAACTCTGCACGGATATCGAATTATTGCGGCTACCAGCGTCTGTATATGGAACGCAGATATATTATTTATATTATATTATAATAGAAGAAATTTGAGAAAAGAACAATAATTTTTATACACTCACCAGTGTTGGGTATCTGGAAACCACCATACATCCTGGAGTGCGGCGGCGTCGGGTTAAGGTACTGCGATCCCTGCTGCGGTTTGGAAACAGCCACCAAATCGTTATCGAGCAATGTTAGAGTGAGCGGTGGTTGATAAGGGACAGTTGAAGTAAGGGGACGAAGAGTAGTGCCTAAAGACTGCAACGGCTGCTGTTGTTTCAACAGCGCCATCATAGGTTTTGATCCAATCTGTTAGGTACCGTTAAACCTGTTACTTAATCTTCGAGTTCGTCTAGAAATCTTTTATTCAAAACTATCGGATGAAACGTGTACACACTATTTTCTTAAGCAAACGACCATGATGAAATAACTTCGATATAGTCACGGGGAAACATAGGCTTGTCAGTACGCAGAACAATAATTATACTCCCAATAACTCGGATGCGATATTTGTTCGTGCACTATTTGCGGCGAGTATCTTCAAACAAATCGCAAGAAACGTATGCTAAAGTGTCTACTCATCTAATACTTACAGTATGTAATACTGGAGCTGATGTAAATTTAGGCATGTTTCGTCCGTTCTCAGTGTGGATGCTCACGAGATTATTTACGCTGTACTGTGTGCTATACTGCTGCTCGCTCTTTACCGGTTCCGGTTTAATAATTTTCGGCGATATCGGCATAGTTATGAAAGCGCCACCAGTAGGTTGGAACCCTGACACTCCTGTTGGATTGACAGGACTGTGATAAGGATACGTACTCGATAAAACTGATACAGTACTGCCTTTATCCATGGAAGTATGGTGATATTTTGTTGTAGATTCTATACCTGTTGAGGGTATCCGTGCTAAATAAACATCAAGATTTGTATTGTTAAAACATATTTATGTAACGTGTTATCCAAACGTTACATCCGTTGATGGCTTGGAAGAAATACCTTTTATCGGTTTAGGCCTGCATGTTATTTCCTGTTTAACGTTGATGACTTCCCTCTTTGAACCGCTTACTGCCGAAAATTGCGATTGATTATAACATATTTTCTCTGCATCCTCATCTTGTCCGTCGTTATCACTATCTGTCAATTTATCTTTACATTTTAAATCTATTTCTGGCTGAGGATCTTCACAAATAACCATCTGATCGTCATCTGATCCATTTGCATCGTCGTCCTGCTTACTGTCGCTCTCTGCATTTTCGATTTGCAGAGGAATCTCCGAGATCCGATGTTGCGTGTGTGACTGATTCATAATCTATCGATAATTTTGTCGATGAGCCAAATATCTTTTCTTAGCAGATATTCAAAGTGAATAGGAAAATCTTGAAAGATAACTCCTTTAAATGCACTACTTATTTTTTATGTTAAAACATTATTTGCGCTACGTTTATATATACTATCGCGAAATTTCTTTACCTCAACGTTAGTAGAAGTTTCATTACATGTGGTAGTAATTGGAGTAGATACTTCATCGGCAGGTGTAATTGTTATTGGATCCTCTGACGAAGAACCCTGCAAAAGATCTGTTTCTTCTCCCGTACTGTTCAACTTTGTCCTTCCTGTTTCACTTCCCTTAAAGCTGGTCGTCGATGACTTTCGTCTGTCTTTACTACACCATTTCCAGTCCGGATGTGCCTTAAAATGTGCTTCTTTCACTTCTGAAGCAAGCTCATGATACTTTTGTTTCTCTTCTGGTCCCAAAGCATACCACCATTCTCCCAATATTTTCGATACTGTACGATTATCTTGATTTGGATGCCGCTGATGTACAACGGCACGATGCCGTTTTGAAAAAATCATAAATGCGTTCATGGGTCGACGTATTCTGTCTTTAGCCTGTAATTAATGTGTGAAAATATATGTACACAATAAAGATTTTATGAAATTTATTCTTATTGCATTAACATTATTAATGAATTTTTATTTCTGTTTTTCGTTAAGGATGACTCCAAAGTGAGCCGAAACGTTTGACACCGTTAAATGAAGATAACCATTAACACCTGAGTATTATCTGCATTTCCTAACTCTTCGCTCTTACATCAGCGTTTGACTCTCATTAGCCTTGTCTGAATTTCTATTTTATTGATTATTAATGCATTTTGGTTACTATTAATATTAATATCAGATATATTATTATTAATATAATTAAGTAAACTGATTCGTTTCATTGTACTTAATATCAATAGTTAAAAGCACATAATAATTCATTAAACTTACTTTCAACGGAGTCTGCGGCTGCAAAGAACTGAGCGATTGACTGCGTCTTTTATTAGCGTTAGCTTCCACTTCTGCGGGTGGGGTTGGTTCTGCTTCAAAAACATCATCATCCTCTTCTTCGGCAGGTGTTATGGGATCTGAACCAGTACCAGGGCCATCTTCAGCAGGTGTGCTCATACTTATTGGTATTGGAGGTGCGCTCAGGGGTGGACTCAGAGCAGAAGGAGGAGGGCTCACTTCTGAGTGTTCCAGAACTGTCGTCTGCCAGGAAAAAGCTGCAATGAAGTTAGTGGGTTAGTTGCAATGAGTGTGGTTAGTATTGATATGGGAATAGCAGCGGATAAAGTAATATTATAAACTTTTTATAGAAACGTTTTCGCTGCTATATCCAAGAGAAGCAATGTGGATTAGTGGATTAATGAAAAGAATTTTAAACTAAGGATCAGTAATAAGTAACAAGAAACCAATGTTACTATTTTGAAGATTATTATTTAATTTATAATATTTAAATAGAATATAGCAACTGTAACATAAATATATGTCTAAAATATGTCTAAACAATCGTGATTCAAGGATAAAGTAAATATTTGTACAAAAAAAATCGTGATTCTCAATTGATGTCATTGGAACAATATATTATCTATACAATATACTTTAAAACAATATATTATACAATGTATTATGCAATATATTTGGTTAAACTGAGATCTTCAAATCAAAATAATAAAAAATTTTAAACGATAATATGTAATTGAATAAAAACATTATCTACACATATAAAAATGTCTTTACATTTTAAAAATCTAAACTTCGGATCCAACATTAGTGAATAGCCTTCCCCAGCATCAAAGCTTTTGTAGAAAAATCTTATTTATATATGTTAAACAAAATGAAAAATTAAGAGGATAAAGTTTGTTAATTAATTGCGTCAGCTGCAAGGTTGGCAATGGTACACGGGAAAAAACTGCACAATTAAAAGTATCTCATATTAAAAAGAACATCTGCAATATATAAATGTGAATAATATATATGTGCAGAATAGCAGTATAATTTTAAACGAATAAAATTTTTTCTAATATTGATGCAATAACGTAAAAAATACGTTATTACACTAGAACACACAAAATAAATGCATAAGACCTAAAAAAATAAAAAAAAGAAAGGGAAAGTTGCCAACTACGTAAACATACGTAAACATACGGCCATGTAAATATTTTAAAAAATAATTAAGCATCTGTGCTTATAACTTGAACATAACAAACAAATGTTGTTCTGTTATGTACCATTGACAAACTGCAACCTACAGCAATTCCATAGGCTTGATACATTTCAGTTGGCAGTCAGAACTCAAACCTTTTTTCCAGTTGTGCACATTGTTCAGTAATGATGGGGGATGAGGCTGGTATGCAGGAGGAACTTCATGGCTGCCATCTGTGAAAGCCTTACCGTTTAGTCAAATTTTCTTGTATCACCGATTCGACATATTATGACATTAAGATTGTCATCACAAACAATTTGTGATGTGGGATAGCAAAATGAGAGATAAAAAAATAAGACGAAATAACGTAGTGTTTGAACTTTTAAACGCTTAAAACACTTTACAAAAAATTAATTATTGGACATGAAGAAAAAATTTTATAATATTGAAGATACAAAATATAAAGGCTGTTTACATTCGAATAATGCATTTATATTATAACATGAAACTTACAGAGAATCCCATTGTTTTTTGCATTCTCTTCTCTAGAAGATTGAGTTTTTGGAATTTGCACCAAATGTCCTGGCTGAACAATTACGTGTTGGAAGACGCTTGTCGGAGTAGACAGATTAGATGCTTCTGTGGAGGATGTCATTACAGCACTTGTAGGCGGCAGCTGACTTCTCTGCATGTCCATATGCACGGTCGTATGTGTATTCACTTTATTCACCTAATTGCAAACAGTAAAATCAACTTACTTACACTTATGCGACATATGTGGATCCTTATACTATGCTCTTATTTTTCTTTAATATACCCAACTAACTTCTATTAACTTGGATCCCCCACCATCGCAAATCGAGTTGGGACATAGTGTAAAAAATTTAGTATTATTTTGTTGCCTAACTATAAATGTAATTTTCTGCTAATTTACATTAATTCATTATGTACCGTGTCAACTTACAGGTTGCTGCAAAACAGACAGTTTATCAATGTGGACGGATGAAATTGCGGGTGATTGAGGTTGTTGACACTGAACTTGATGCAAAGTGGAGACCGGTAATTGGCCCGGATGGTTGATTAAATTCTGTCGATATTTGTCATCCTGATTGCTTATATGCGCACTCGCTGGTGCCGACATGTCCATGCTGTTCTTTATCACGAGATACTTTTTTTCATGCTGCATCACGTAGATCGGCTGGCCTTGGGACTGTGGCGACTGCGCATAGTCGACTGGTTGTTCCAACGATTTGTGTACAAGTGTCAAGTTCTGCGGCACCGGGATAGCGGGCAGAGGCATGTGAGGTGAGAGCGGTGGTTTTATTAACTGCGAATTCTGTTCGGACATCTCGGTTTGATTGGGAAAATCGTTGGTCGACGTTAGCGCGTGTTGCAAGATTATGTTTTGTTGTTGCTGCGCGATCGATGTAACGACTGAGGGATGTCTCGTCGGTGGTGGACTTTGTTCCGACCACGACAGAGTCGGATTCTGTCCGGGTTGCATACTGCGACTCACTGGGGAGATTCTTATCACACTCGTCCCTAAACTGGCAGGGATAGCACCAGTTATCGGAATCGGTCGATTTCTATCTACTCGATTCGGCTCAGGCTTTATTACTTGTTGCGGGTACTGAACCAAAAAGTTCGATTGTGTAGGTGAATGCTTCCATTTTGCGCCAGGTGAGATCAGCGGAGTCGCATGATGAGCGGGACTCGAAATAGGCATAAATACATTATTCTGATTGAGCCCCAATGGCGGCACTGGTGACTGATTTATACATGGAGATATAGAAGATTGACCCGTCGGTGACGAAAAGGCTGGCGTAGCCGATCTAGAGCTCCCCAAAGACACTGTAATAATACAACACATTTAATCCATAGAAAGTTACTGCCATATAAAAACATTTTACATTATTCGAATATCGAATATCAAAATATAATTCAGAGTAAACAGATTATCAATAGCTAAATGTAATATACATGATCAATTCTTTTATTCAAAATGATTTACAATAATACCTCAATAAAACTCTTAATTTTTTTTTAAATGTAAAAGAAAAATTCTTGTTTTTTTTACTGGAAATATAAAGGATATACCAAGCATATTAGCAGCTTCAGTTTCGTCGAATCTATCCGTTATTCTTCTGTCAACATAATTTGGCGAGGTATCGGAATCTCTCGATGTTTCTTCGCCATCCATTTTACCACTGTAAATGGAAAGAAAATAAAAAAAATTATAACATCGTGATCGTTAAAACATCGGATAATTTAGTAAAACAATCACTTGTCAAATAAAAAAGCTGGTTTTCATTTCCTACTTCTTCACATATAACAAAGAATTTCGAGTGAAAAAATATTAATACCGTAATTGTGACAGGAAGAAAAACCAAAAACCAAAACAAATCCCAAGGCAACTGGGTAAATAAATCGTAATGTTGTGTCCCTTAAAGAACAGAAATCCAAATAATAAAAATGAGAAGAAGCAATTATCGATACAAGTGCAAATGTATATTCATACCCAGGAAATGTGTTTGCTGGACCTCTAAGACCAGATCCTTTAAGGCTAAGATGACGAGAACAGTATCCTCTTCGCTGGCTTTCCTTATTACAGTCTTTTTTACTACAAAGTCGACGCCATTGTTTCCCATTATATTTTTTTCTTATTCCACTTGGTGTAACCACTATGTCACCCTTTTTATACCTATGTGGCGTTGCCGCCTGAGATCTATTTAACAAAAAAAGATTCATGTACAATTACTAGTTAAGAGTTTCACTATTAATACATGCATTAATCAATTTATCTTATGAAAAACTACTATATTTGATAAAATTAATACCGAGGTGTGGCTGCCTGAGAGCGAGGCGTTATACTACGTTGTTCAACTAGGCTACTGGTACTTCCTCGGCTCTGCATGCTGCTTCTTTTGCTGCTCCCTGACAATTTTGCATCTGTCAGTTGAATATACCTGAATTACTATACTATTGTTTTGACTAAATTGCTCTCATTAAAAGCCTCAGCTTTTCTTATAGATATAGAGGGAGTACATTTTCAGAAAAATATCAAACAATATTTAAATATAATCTATTGTTAAAATACAAATAAATTTTAACAATCTTTCAAGTTTGCGCGTAACCAACATTTTTTAAACAATGTTGTACGTGATACAGTGAAAATTTTATATTCTAATAAGAATTAAGATCTGACCGTGTAAATGTACAACATACATACGTTTGAGAGCGCCAATAATCGGTCAAAGTTAGATGTTATGAATATAATATATTCTTAATTTTTAAATTTTTTTTTAATTATCTCAGATGACTGTGCGCCGAAACATTCGGACATTAATAACAATCGATCTGAGATGCTAATAATATAAATATGATGAAGAGCCGAAACATTCTTATATATGAAAATAATCCCCCCCTAAATTAATTCGGTAAAGAACTTATTGCGAAAAATATTACCTCAGCCAGGATTCGAACCTGAAATCTCTCGACTTTCCGGGGCGAGTATCTTAGCCAATTCGACCACCGAGGCTTCGGAAATATTCTTCACAATAACTGATATGTATTTTATATTCTATCTAACCTGCATCCGAGGGAAATGTAATATCTTCTCTGTCTAAATCATCCTCGCTTTCTAAATCGTCGTACGGCCGACTACCATTACTTAACGCCGTGGCAGAATGTGCAGGAGTGCCTAAAGTCATAAGAGGACTGGTACCGGTCGTTCTATAATAACTCGTATCATTGTGACTTGATATATGCGATGTATGATGAGAAGTATGCAAAATTGGCACTGCTGTCGGAGCTTCCGTGATATTGCGATATCCATGTTCTGATAAATTTCAAAAAAGCAAACGTTACCACGCTATAGTTATCTTCTCGAAAAATGATTGGTCTTATTGATTATATAAATGATTTGTTACCAATGTTCTCTCTTGTAGGGTCACATTCTTCCAACCCCTCCTCTAACTCGTCCGCCCATGGAGGTTGTACTAGCCGCAAGTCCGCGCGTTTCACCATATAACTATCACACTGATTGTCCTCTCGCGGTATTTTCACAAGAAAACGAGAAGGATTCTTTAATACTCTGCTCACTGTCCCTTTTACAAACACTTTTGTCGCGTCCACATGACTGATCGAAGTCGGACATCTGATGCAAACCTTCATTTCCTCAATCACCTGTCCCAGAGACGGGCTTGCATCTCCTATCACATCGTACCGTCTTGCACCCAGAACGTCACTATAACGCACTAGTTTCCTCTCGCCGTCAAACTCAATTAATATCTCACCGTGAACAACGTTACGTATAACACCCGGGAAATAATATGAATCCCTTAAAGCTAACACTCTATGATCGCGCCACTCACTGAGATCAATAGCAAGCCGAGGACGAGAACGTGAAGGTTCCTCACGGAGAGAGTAATCCACCGCTGTGCTTTGAGGAGGTAACACTACTACCGAATGAGGTACCTTGAACACAAGGAAAAAATTCATGTACAACGCATACTTTCGAATAAAAGATAATTTAAAATAAATTATTGTAAGTGTTAAATACAATAAATATATTTTATTTAATAGTTTTGACACATAAATGTTTCTTATGAAAATACAAAAATTATTTTAAATGACGTAGAATTATATTTCTCCCTATAAGAAGTATCAGTATTCTAATTTTGAATATACTGGCAGGCAGAAAACATGTACATGTATATTAAAATTTTATTTTGTAAAAAAAAACCCGATATTCTGCTTAAATTGCTACATATGTATATTACAAATATATGTATATTACATATTGCTATATATTTATTTATTTTCTATAATATTTATAACTTTTTTATAATATAGCGTTCAAATATCAGCTGAGATTACTGCTAACATCACTATAACATTAAAATTTTGATTAGTATCGTCCATTTATCAACATACTTGATAACACTCAGACTCCTGCTGTTGCGGCGACTTTCGGCTGATGGTAGTTGGTACGCTGGATTGTTGTCCTAAACCCGGCTGGCCGCTAAGCGGCATAGCAGGCGGGCGTATATGAACCATATTGTTAATGTTGCTAGTGACATTGCTGGTCTTGTCCATCTCCTCAAGCTCCGATGGATCGAATTTTCGTTTCTTTGGAAGCTTTTTAGCGCTGATAGTGGGATCAGACGGGTCTCGTTGCGGAGGTGCAGGAGGCGGGGGTGGTTGTTCTGGAATTGGTTTCTCTTCAATCGAAGTGCCACCACCCCCGCCTGCCCCATATTGCCCGCTGCCGAGGCCATCCCGCTTCTCGTGCATCTCAGGGTGAGCAGTCAGCATCTTGACCATCTCACGCTGCTCTGAAGATTTAAATTAACTGTCGTTAATATCGTTCATTATCACTAAATAGCCCAAGAAAATTAGATTTTTTGGAGGCAAAATTGCTATAAAAGATTTATTTGCGGGAAATTGTTCGAAATGACGTATTATACTATAATATATAAATCAATATGTTTATAAGGTTTTCAGAATTTTTTGGATCAAACATTTTAAATTTTTTACATTGTATTTATTCTCCTAAAAATTCTCAGTAACAGTTTATTCATACATAACAGAATAACAAAACCAATTTTGGAAGTTGCACGTTCTTTTCCAATCCCTTTACTTATTGCAAAATATCTTTTGTGCTACGACTTTTTCGATTTTCTTGCCTAAAAATTCTTATTCTTCAGTTTTTAAACGATCAATTTAAAAAAAAATTAATTATAAAAATAATGCATTCTAACCCGAGGTTAGAAAGCAAAAGAAAATGTCGGGTTAGACATGTCCGTTGTGTATACACAGGGATTTTTTTAAGTTGTGTACTGAGAATTCATGTTCACATTTTCATGATTAAGGTATGAAAACCAAAAAACGCATATATATCACACTACTTCTTAGCCTCTGTGGCAGCCAGTCATTAGAATTAACGGTCTGAATAAGACCATACTTGTCGAAGTTGTATCTCCGAAACTATTGGTCTTAAAAATATGAACCAAACACCAATTCAAGGGAATATTATCTATTAAGAGGTTAAAGTATCGTTATCCTAACATTTTTCCAAATACATCGTTTTTACACAGGTTATGGATTATTATTTTCAGTCAAAAAATCGTCGCAGAAAACTCTTTCTTCAAACAACTGTACCTTGCACAAAAATTGAAGGAGAGAGAAAAAAAGTGGTACGCAACTAGAATCGTATACAAATACATGTAAACTTTGAGAAAAATACGAATATTAATTTTTCCAATTCGATTACATACCCGTATTGATAAATAAACTCATATTTGAACGTAAATTGAGGATCCTGTAATATCTTTAAAACACCATATCTCGAGAATTATTGATCGTACTTTTAAAAAAAAGCATTTTCAAGTTAATTTCATAAACTTTAAGACTGTTTATGTACATTTTTCACATACGATAAGTTACAAGCAAGTTATTCATTAAAATGTATTACAATTTGAGAAAATTTATTTATATCTCGGTAACTATTCATCGTACGAGATTCAATAAAAAACAATTTTGTAGGGAATTTAAAAACCTTTTGATTTGATAATAAGTACTTTTTACGTAGGAGTAGTCGAATCCAAGATATTTACATAAAACTTCAAAAAAAAAGTTTTGTTCAAAAATAAAAGGAAACATTCTTAAAATCGTATCTCGAAAATTATTGGTCGTACAAGGGCGAATAAAAAATGATTCTGTAGGGAATTCAGTAATCTTCAATTTTCATAAGAAGTATTTTATACGTAAAAGTAGCCAGATCCGAGATGTTTAAGTGTGAAAAATCGTTTCATTCTCGAAATGACCAAAAATACAACATTCTTTAAAAAATTCTATCACGCGCGGAAAGTATTGATCGTACGACCTTCAAAAACAAAACAAAATTTTTCGTAATTTTATCAACTTTCTTTCTAATAATGACCTTTATTTCGATAAAATGAACTTTCCGAGATATTTTTGAAAAATCGCATTTTTTATCAGTTTTTTGAAGCTAGAAAGTTTTCCAAGTCCGCTGACGGTCAGGACTTTTAATATGTTGTATAATACGTCATTTCGTACAACTTCCCGCACACAAATCCTTTATGGCAATTTTGCCTCCAAAATGCAAAAAAATTTTAATTTTCCTGGGCTATTCAATTAAATAAAGAGAAATTTTTTCTCGAAAGTAATATCGCAAATGTGGATAGAAATGTTTAATGATAATATTAGAGAAAATAAAACTATAATAGTAATAAAAAATAGTGTGTATTATATGAAAACAAACAAAATAAAATAAAATAAAATCATATATTTTAAATGGTTTTTTTCTTACATCTATAAGCTTTTTTTATAGACAAAATGTCGCACTTTCATTTGTGATAATATTGAGGATAACTGCAAATATTCAAATTGGCCGAAATTATCGATTACCCGAACAAGAATCGAACTAGACAAAAATAATCAGATTCGACCTCGACTTAAATTTCGCAAGTGTTCGCGTCCTTATTCCGACATTTTTAATTCAGACTACAGATTTATTTAAAACCTTAAAATTAGGCACAAGACAAGAATTCGTGAGATCCGTTGACAATTTCAAGTCGCTTAGGAATACATAGAGGAGAAGGTGGTATCATGGCACCCCAACTACATTTTACACAATAACTTTGTTAATAATCAATATTTAAGTTTAAAATTTGACAATTACATTCGCTAAAATGTTGTTGACATCGATTCTCGACTCAAAGTTACGAAATATTTATTACTTAGGATACTATTAATAAAAATATGGCGACATTGCATAATGACTCAAAGAAAAAATGGATGATAATGTGGCCTTCCATAAAAATAGCCTTAAAATATTAGTTTGGTTCAGAAAACAGTATTTAGTTACAAAATTAACAAAAAAGTAAAACATTTTAAAATGTATGCAAATGAATGTATATACTTTCACATAACCTCTGCATATAAGCTGCTCAGTACTAAAAATCTCAGTACTGAAAATAGTACACGTAATATAAAGTACAGATTAGCAGTAGAGCTACAATTGAACATATCAAATAATTATTTGGATATGAAAACCTCAAAGAAGAGATCGTAAGTAATCAATATAGAAGGCTACAACATTAGCAAAATGCTATTGTTTAAATTTGTATAACTCAAAATATATACAGTCAAATAAAATGTTAAAATAGCAAATAACACACTCAGAAATACGATATATTCATATGATAATACGCTCAAGTTTAAAAAAAATGAGGAAGTAGGTGTAATTAAATACTAAAGTAGAAATGTTTCGACATACTTGAAAGTAAAAATGCGTTATAATAAGTGCTGATTATTGAATATTAGTAATATTAGCGTCATGGTGTAATGGCGAGCTACTGAACAAATAATTCCATAAGTAATCATTAGGATTCGCTATATAATAGCGGAGATATTAAGGGAGGCCACGATATATACACTAGCCATAATACCACCTTCTCCTCTATATGTAATTCTTTAACTACAAAAAAGTTCTTTAACTACAAAAGAGGCAACATATACAAAACGTCTCAAAATTCGAGATTAAGATACTATAGAAAGAAAGTTTTCGATAAATTAAGTAAAAAGTTATTCGTACATTTTTATTTTAAGCAATCTGAGATTAAGTTTCTAAGATATAAGGATTTATAGCCAATTACAGACTGGTAGATGGCTACCTGTGAGTATTAATGAAAGCGCTGAAGTGCGCACTTATCATCGCTCACTAATACTATCGCACTCATGAACAGATAGTCTTCTACATTGTCTGTAACTGGCTATATTTATAAACCTTTATCTTAAAAATTTTCGTCTAAAATAAAATTTACAAATAATTTTTTCACTTAATTTTTCGAGAACTTTATTGCTACAGTGTTTTGTCGCAAATTTTGGAACACTCTGTGTACATCCTGAAAAATAATCTTATTTGTAAAAAATGTATATATATGCTATAGTTAAAATATATATAATTTGCAATTTAATTGATGAATTTTAATTTTAATTTTATGATAATATTCGACAATGCCTGACATTATCTTGAAAAAAATTTGTTGAAAACGATGTCGTGTAAGTATTTTTTGTAACAAAATTTTGTGTGTTCCTCAAATATTCGGCTGAATCTATGAGGTTCAGCATGTGGTGTATATACATAAAAACATAGTGCGTAATTTTACAATCAACTTATCTCTGTATACCAAAAAAATTTTTCGAGGCCTCCCTCCTCTCCTACCAAAAGATAATTCAAACAATAGAAAGTGATCGAAAATGATTACTGAAGCCGATGTTTTCCGTAGTGTTATCGACTGGCGTAATATTTCGTCGTATTCGTGTCGTCGGGATAGCGCGTGCGTTACGCGATAAACCTAACAATGTATACTCACAGTCCGTACAATAGAGAGAAGGCTGCGTGCTGAAAGGCGAGCTGTAGCTGGGAGGGTGGTGACACCGGCTAGGTGCATACCTCAGCACCCGACTGTCGGGGACAGGATGCGTCGAGTCTGGGCTCTCTCGTCTTTGTCTCTCTCGCGTCGGGATTGTTGTACCCTCTCCCAACTCCAATTTTTCTTCCCAACCCCAACTGCCGAGCATCCTCCTCCGAAAATTCTCTTTTTAGGCGAACACTCGTCGTCTCCTCTTTAATTGTTTCGCGTCTCCACTGAATATTCTGTAAAGAAAGAAAGGCACTGGCTTTAAGCTTGACCATCGACGTAGCAACCGACCCTTCACTTTCCCTTTGCCCTTCGCCATCTCGAGGTTCAGTCGTTAACGTTTTTTTTTTTCAAAAATTTTCGGTAACTACACGTAACGATATACCATGGTTTTCGCCGAATCAGGATGTTTCGTCGGTTTCGGTGAATTTAAGAGATTTTGTCCGGATAGATTTGAGAAACCTTTTTATAATTTCTTAAATTTTAAAATAACAATATCTGTATAACGAAAGAATTTCGACAGAAAAATGAATTCGATTTCGTGCATTTAGAAAATAATTTTTTAATGATTTAACAACTTCATTATGATCATTATTTTCTGACCATGCGTTATGATCGTTTAAACTGATTAGGCCATGAAAGGTAAGAAAGAATAAAAGAAACAAATCCACTGACCGCAGTCAAACATTTTCCTCAATCTTTTCCTTGAGCGTACCTTCGTAGGAGCGCTTGACTGCGATTGGTCGATTCGTTCACAGTTCAAGTTTTTCGTGCGTCTTTGGCTTCAAACTACGACCTTGAACAAGTACGAACACGTATAAGCATATTTACGTATCTTCATTTGTTGAAAGAGGAGAAACTCAGAAAAACATACTTATGCGACAAAAGAAACGCAAGGGCATCGTCAAAATGAACACTAATAAAATATGGAAAAGTTAAACAAAGTAATTGTATATTTTTTCAATACGCGAGTATTTCCGAAGCGAAAGAAAAAAAAACGGTCGCAGTGATTCCATCGCGATACTGAATAGATAAATGAGTGACTAATAACGAATTCGGTCACTTGCATTACAAGAGATTAGTGCATATAAAATCAGTGCATTAAAAGCTATTATACATGAAATTAGCAGTTAAATGTAAGAGCATATAAATATTTTAAACGATTACATATCCAATATTGATTTTGTCATGTTATTTAGTAGAACACAGGTAAATGTATTATTTCATTGCCAAATTTGATTGTATGTTATGCCTCTGCATTTAGATATTTTATATATAAAGCAGCCTTTAATGTACTAATTCAAATACAAGTGGTCGAATTCATCATAAAATGATAGACGATATAAATCGAAAATGGATCGCAAATGGATTGAAAGAGAATTTGATATGGAATTGTCAAAGAATAAGACAAGCGAACGCATGAGATAAATGAAGAAGCGTAGAAAGATCCGAGACGAAGTGAGACAAGGTCGACCTCGTGTCACGATTGTCGATCGGAAATCACGCGTAGCTGCGGTTACGCGCGTCCGTTTTCGACTACTACATTGTGCTCAACTACTCTTCAAACTTGGTTATTACTTTCAACGAATTCGTTGATTTGATTGTTCGATCACATGAAACTGTCAAATGTCGGCAAATTCAATTTTATTCGGATATTTATTTATATATGTGGGCATTAAAGAATTTTAATAAGATAATTTAGAAATTGTCAATAATCAGTGATTTTTATTTATTTTATAATCATAGAAAAAGGAAAATATTGGAATATGGAAAGATTATATTAATTATACATTTTAAATAAATTTATAGAAAATTAAAGACTTCTCGTAATGAGTGCGTGCGTGTGTGCGTGTGCATGTGCGTGTAACTTTTCATAATTTTGCAATTCAAATGATGCGCGAAAATATGAAAATAGACGTTAGTTTAACATATCTGATTTACACGATACTACTGATCAATAAGTTAAATTTCAACTAACTTTTATGCTGGAAATTCAAAGAAGATCTATTATTAGTCTAGAAAGCAATTCCTCTATTCTTAATACTGTATATTAACTGAGAATTTCTATCTTTCTCTCTCTCTCTCTCTCTCTCTCTCTCTCTCTCCTCCCTTTCTCTTTTTTACTTCTCCTTCTTTCCCTCGTGTTCATCCGATATTGTGGATAAAGGAACCAAGAGAGAATGCATTAAGTTTACTACTCCCTTGAGTCTGACTCACGACTCGTCCGACTCATCCGCCTATAGCCAAGAGAGAGAATATGCTATTATGTATCGTGTCTGTTCGTTCATTCCTGTTATCCCCTCCCCGCGTCTCTCCTCCTACCTAGGTACCCTTTCTTCGCGAGAGCGGATTGTAGACGCTTGTAGGTATGTAAGGGTGAGTGCATTACGAGCATCAAACTTCGAGAAACTTGACGGAAAGTCATAAGATAATAACACGCGTCTTCTAATCTGCAGACAATAAGAATGTGGATGAGAAACCTGTCGATCGATGACAGACTTCCACTGCATATTGCAATCATCGTTAATTTTAGTTTTCGTCGTATCATATATCTACGGTAATTAGATACAGCCATAGATTATATATTTTTACGTCTCATAACGCAACTGTTGTTAATATTATATATATTTTATATTTTAAAATATACATATATAGTTAAGAGTCATTTGAAATTCTGTATTTTTCATAGTATTTATCGTAAATTTTATATTTCATATTTTGCACTATACGCAATCGCGACATAAATTTAATATTTCACATCTCGTAACAGTTATTATTAATTATGTATCGTATATTTCATGTAGTTGTTATTATTAATCTGGTCACATTTCATAATATCGCTATTAATTTTACTCATAATACAGTAGTCAATCTAAATTTTGCATACGTTATGAAGGAACACAATCAAATAATTAACAAAATGTGTGACAATGTACTCAGTTTACAAAAATATCAAACAGATCAAAGCAATTTGCTAATCATTTATAAAAAACTGATCAAACTTTTTTGCGACCTTTAGCAAATGGCTTCTTCACAAGTGCGTTACCGCCAAATTGTACAAAAGCAGCACAAGAGATATTAGGATCCCATGTTACCAACAGGGTTCCATAATATTTCTAACAAAAATACAATACTCTAAAATGAACGAAACTCCGTCCTTTCATACAAATCAGACATGAAAGAATGGCCTCAACCGCGCAGAGAAGCATCGTTCGAAAATTATATTTTTATCGCGTCGCTTGCATCAAAATATTTTATTGAAGATATAACCTGCAGAATACTATTATTATATCGCCAGTCGTCATAAAAATATCATTCGATAAAAATATGTATTATTCCCTAGATCGTTCGCCAGGATGCAGTTTTCTTTTAACATCGAATAGAGAACAAGAAATATTGGGACAGTTGGCAAAGTACGTTGTAGAAAAAGAAAATGATTCACGACGTAGTACCATCCATGATTCTATTGTTCGTCATGAATGGGGAATCCAAGGAAATTTTCTCTTCATGGAAATTTTTCTTGTAACTTAAATTATGCTTTAATTTTTTACTCATCGAAATGTAATGTATTTTATGTTAGGAAAACATCCTGTGTGTATATATGGTATATATATATATATATAATAATAACGGAATACAAATCCGACTATCAAGAGCTATATCTGGCGACAGTTCTTGGCTAGAAACGTAAATCAGACACCTGCCAGAACTGATGCTTGACGTGGTATTTCTACAATACACCACTAAAGTGTCAGGTAGAAGGGCGGATTTTGTGACCGTAATAGTTCCCATTTTAGTGTATGAGTACTGTCATTGTGTAGTTTCGACAGATTTTATACCTGCAGCACAGTTAAGAAGAAAAAACGATTAATCTTTAGATATAGTAGAACCTTACTAAATTTCGCATTGACATTTTAAAAGGCTATTCAATCGCATTAAAATCTGAATTTGGAGTAAAGTTTTCACTAGAAAATTTGTTCGACTGCATATTGTTTTTCCTTTTTTATAACTTCTTAATATGTCACATAAATTTTGAAAACTATCTCATCTTAATAAATTGACTCAATAAAATTAATATTGCACTTTAGAAATTTTTGCTTCAAATTAAATAAATGCGCATGCGTTCCAAATATTATGTCTACATTTACTTTTTGTATAAAACTTTTTGTATAATTTTATGTATAAAATTGATTTATTAAAAAATTATATATACATATATATAAACATTTTGATTTAATATACATGGGTGGTTCAAGTCAAACTGGGACTTTTATTCTCATGAACATAAGAATAAAAAAGTCCCGGTTTAACTTGAATCACCCTCGTATATTATGATGTATATGTAAATTAGATATAAATCCGTATAACAAATCAAACTAACATATAAAGAAGTTTTACGTTTTATGGGTGTATTATTTGCGCGACGTCTTTTGCGCCTGACTCCTATTGCCCTTATTCTTTCCAATTTCTTTTAAACTAGATATATATATATATATATTGTACACAAGGTATATATTATATAATAAACATTTTTATTTCAATATTATAAATCGTAAACATATATACTTTTTAATCTAAACAAGCACCAACTTCGACATCGCCACAGTGTGATTTTACACATTCCGTAACATATACATTTTATGATTATATCCATCGAAAATCTCGTGCATGATAAAAATAAGAAATTGCTAATACTTTTTATTTCTGTTTGTTTATTCGGAAAATACATACTGTATGCAAATAATAATTTGTTTCAAATATTTCAAAAGTTCATATATCCACAAATCTGTCATAAAATTCACCACAAGCATCAAATTTATTCAAAATATTCTGAATCTTATAAATTCGAATTGTTTATTATTTAAAGTTGCTTCTTCGATCCATTTTATAATATATGTATAATTCTTTAAAAAATAATAATAATTTCTGTGTTTTTTAGTACATGTTAATGAGTTTTTCTAAAATTTGTAATAAGTATATTTTAAAACTTTGTAATAAGTATATTTTAAAACTATCAAGAATATTCTTTGTTAAATATATCCGTTATTTAAAAGAAAGAAACTAAATAATTATTTTTCTTAGCAACAGAATATTTTTCTGTGTGTACGGCGTGGTTCTGTTATACCTGTTTCTAAACCGTACTTTTCAAAAAAGCAAAATGGTCAACGTATGAGTTATGCGTCAATTCCTAGCACCCTTTAGAGCAGGCCATAAAGAGATTCTGCAGAATTCAAC